CCCACCCCTCTTTTTCCCTAGTTTTGTGGTTGAGCAGACGTCACAGGGTCTGGAATATCCCTTTGGTCAGTTCAGATCACCTCAGCTGCCCTGGTTACGCCCCCCTCAAGCTCCTGCCCACCTCATCCCACTTGGGGTGGGGATGTTAGAAAGGGCCTGGGTGCTGTGCACTGCTCAGCACAGCCACAACACGGGTGTTGCCAACAAACCCCCTTCTAGCTCCCAGCAGCACAAAAACCCTGCACCAGGAGGGCTGCAGTGGGAGAATCAGCTTGGCCAGACCTGACACACCCAGGCACTGCTGCCCGAGGAGGAGCCTGCACCCCTCACCCCTCCCCAGCTCACCACATCCAGCTGAAGTTGGTGTTTCTCCGGGATTATAACCCCCCTATTCCCTAAAATCCACACTTTTCTCCCCAGAAAATCTCCCCCATCCTCCTTCCTGGGCTGTCCAGGTGCAGACACAGCCCCAAGCAGCAGAGCTGGCCGAGCACTGCAGCACCTCAGGGCAGGGGGATGGGACAGTGCCGGCGCTTTCCCCGCAGCCCAACAACTTCTTCTGGCTTGGGAGAGGCTGAGGGAGGGAAGCAGCTCCCAGCTGGTCCTCAGGGGCACCTCCCCAAGGCGTGGGAAGGAACCATGGCCCCGGGAAAGGTCAAAAAAAACCACCCCAGTGCAGGGCTTGCAGTGTGGGCAGCAAAACCTGAGTGTTCTCCTCTTGCCTCCAAGCCACGGTGTTGCATGGCCACGACTTCATCTGCCAAAAGAGGGGTGGGAGTGGAGGAGGCACCTGCCAGGCTGGCACAAAACCTTCCTCTAGCTCCACTGAAGCACAGGCCTGCTCTGAGAAATGCAAGAATCCCCTCTGTGCATGACCACGGGGACTTCAGCAGTTCAAAACCTCCCAGAAGGAAGGGGGTTTTTTTACCTCCTTCCTCTTCATCTTGCAGCAGCTCACCCTCTCCTCTCCCCAGAAACTGTGAGCAGTGCAGCAGACACAGGAGGGAGCTGCCACCCTCAGAAAAATCTTTTCTGGGCCACGGTCTCAGGCTGGGGAGTGGGCTCAGGGACCCCAAACCTGCTCCCCCACGGAGCGTGGGGCCCGGCACGTCGCCTGCAGGTCCCTGGGCAACCAGGAGCAGGTTTGGCAAGTGAGAGCAGCAACCCTGAGGCAGACGTGGATTCAACAGGGCAGAGCAAACCTGAGAGGCAGGATTTGGAAGCTGGTCACTGCTCCAAAAGCTGTGGGGACCCCCCAGAGAAATAGGTGGGACCCCCCCCCAAGAGCTCTGGGAGGGTGGCAAATGAACCCACACAGGCAGAGCCCCAAGGGGTTGGCAACCAGTTGCCTTCACCACTTGGCCACCCCATCCCTTAGGTCGGGCTCTTGACTGCACTGATTTTGGCAGGGCAGACTCCCAAGAGGGTGG